ATGCTTTAGACAGGTAGATGGAACTTCCGTGCAAAGAGAGTGAGTATAGTTGACGCCATTATGTATTCAGTTGCACAGATTCCTTATATCATAGATGGCTTGATAAGAGACATTTCTTAAATACCTTTTTGTGCATGAGAAAGATGAGGCAAGGACATTAAGAGCAAGGCTCTGTTAAACGCTGCCTACTCTATGGAAGGGTATAGCTGAGACTTCAGTAAGACGCTGCTTAACCTCACAGGACTCTTGGAACCTCATCACAAGTTACATTAAGAATTTTTCTTAGATCTGCTATCCTAAAATTTAGTATAAAGGAAGTTGTAAAACTTATCTATCTCTCCAGAATGCTGCATCATTTTAAACTGCCTCCATCTTTTGTGGTCACTTGTAAGAACTCCCCAGGAGGAATCATACCTCTTCTTTATGTGTTCTCCTCCTTCTCCCACACTGTGATCCCTTTCATGGTAGCTTATTGCTGCTTATCTCTTGGAAGCTCTGCAAAACAGCTAGACAGATTGATTTTCCATTACTGCTATAGGCTGTTCCTATTAATATATGAATAATATTTACTTGTTAGATATAATTAAATCACCCAAACTATGTTAAATGAATATCCTTGGTCTGGGGGAAACCCACAGATGTCAGGTCTAACATCTTTTAATGTTAGCCATACAAACTTACTCAGAGGTGTACTAGACCACATGCTTCAACACTAGGCAAAGTTCCCTTCTTTCTGCATTACACTTTACAGGAAGAACATCTCAAAGAAAGCAGCAAGATATTTCTGAATGTTTCTGTGTCAATTATAAAACCATTAATTTATTCTTGTATATGTGTGTTGTATTACCTTGTGTGAAACCTTAATAGCATTGCTTTAGGATTTAAGGAATCAGCTATGTCAACTATTTCAAATGATTCTACTGAAACCCCGTCCATTTCCTCCACATGTCCTCAAGGGCCACTGTAATTTGGTAGAAATGCAAGGCGTATTATGTTAGGAGCTCAGTGGAAGGGATGTATAAAACTGTCTGAGAACTCCTGTTCTCTGAAGACCATTGACTTGGTAGAACATAATGGCACTTTTCAAGAAGCTGTAGAAAACGCATGTTTTGTTGCTAACTTAAGGGCCTTAACCTGCAAGTTCTCATCTAAATACATGGTTGCCTATCAGCTGGTACAGGGGGGACCTGTATCTGCTGATTTTACTGTTCCTCTCACTATGAAAGGTCATTGGTTTCTTTTCCTTTGCTCTTGTTTTCTTTCTGGCTTTCTTGGAAGAGTTGCTGAGGAAAACCTTAGGAAAAATTTCCGTTTCTTTCCCTATAACATAGTGTAGTACACAGAGTCCCGATACATAAACTTTTTAGCAATATGTTGTCAAGGCAGAATTACAGTCTATGACTTCTGGAATGCCCAGCAGTACTCTTTCAGAAGCATTTTCTGGCAAAAGTTTAGCATTGCTACACCGTTGGATTTTTATATCTACTTTTTAGCAGGTTTGAACAATGGCTACGATATTTAGCTGCTGCAAACTCACCCAGGATCTTTTTATTATCCCTACTCCCCACCTCTTTCAAATTAAGCAGTAACAGATGTCCAAGCACAGTTATACCAATCCACGCTGCTGCCTGCAAGCATACCAGCTACTGTACTTTTATCCCCTCTAAAATGCTGCCACTGGGGAATGAAGGGGCTGCATTAAAGCTTTGTATTCTTAGGTGAATCTACGCCACATCCATCTCTCACTGCTGTTCTGGGTCATTCCTGAGCCTCCTGAACAAACTGTCAGTACCTTGTATGCCTAAGTTAAATGCTATTGAAAACCAGTTGAAAGATACTGTTAATAATTCAGATGCCCGTCCTGCAAGGCTCAGTGCATGTGTTGGTTGCATTGTGAAGGTCTTTAAAGACAATGCTTTCTTTTGTGTTAATGAATGTTAATATTCCATCTGTGTGTGTAGGGACACACACTATTCCTGGCATCTTGAATCCTCCTCCGCCAATTTACGCTGGTTTCATGTTGGTTATTGTAGTCATCTCAGGTATTTACAGTGATTCTGGATTAACTGAGTAAAGTGAAAAATGCATCTTTGAAATAAAGAATCAATTCTACTTGAGATTTTCAATAGCCTCCATCACTGTAGAGTGCCTCACAATTTATGTTGCATTTAGCCTGATAACACGATACTATCATTGTGTCTGGTTATTGCTTAGGGAATGTAGGCATGAGGCTAACAAACTGGACCAAGATCATGCTAGAATGTGAATTAGAATATTAATTTTTCCAGTCCCAAGTGAGCATCTTGCAGCTTGAAGGGTTATCTTCATCACTCAGAAGTATGTACAGGATTCGTAGTGATGGGATGGGAAACTGCTGAAACCAGATTAGAACCTGCAGCAACACACCCTTTGCAGAAAAAAGTGGCCAAGTAAGGCCAAGCTGAATGTTTTGGCCATGCTACTTATGTTTTGAGTTTCTCATGCCAATCCGTATTACTTTATAAAAATGCATAGCTCTTTCTGAAGACTTTTCAGATTTAGTTACTTGAGGAACAAGCTGACATTTTCACATTTCTGAAAATTTTTCATGAAGTTTTGGGGAGTATGTATAAAAGATAGTAATCTTATTAATTAATTAATCTCCTTCAAAACTTTACACTATCAAGACTCTCTTTAACTCAGGGAAGAGAAAAAGAAACATGAAATCTCTAAACTTTTTTCCCTCCATCTTAAAATTTGTAATGGCTAAATGGCTCATTTTTGAATGTGTGTAATAAATTCAGCACTCTTAGGCTGAAACATTGTATTTCAGGTTCAAGCTGAATCCAATTTTTACAGGCAACTTGTTAACCTCTAGGCCAATAATAGGTAGGGTTGTAATGGAAATGCTGATGAGCCTTAATAAAGCAACTCTACCAAATGACACAGTTTCATCTAGTATATGTACATACACTATATTACCCCTATTATACATACTGTAAGTGACACATGAACAAGGCAAAATAATATAAAATACAACAAAAGTGTGTCACATTGGTGCAGAGGTTTAAAATACGTGGTGAATGTGAGAAAACCTTTTATGGCAAAATAAGAATAGCATTTTGTAAGCTGTTCTTCTTGCACTACAATTAATTACTGAGTTCATTAATTAATGAACATATTAGAGAAAGAACACCATTACTGACCGGTGGAGACCTGATGTATTACTGAGTCAATAAACTATTGAACATGAAACAGGACCTTTCAGGAGAATTTTTTTCGCATAACCCACAAACACATATATTATTCTTGCATGGTCAGCACTTCTTTGGTACCCTTATATTTCATATTACTAATTCTTTTAATCACACATACATACAGCAGTGTTTTATAACCTAGCTAATGAGTAATTGGACAGGTGACATTGGAACTCAGGCCCTGAAGTGTCAAGCATAGTAGAGCAGGGTATTTTTTTCCCCACTAGGTTTTCGAGAGTTAAAAATAATAAAAGCGCAGATAGGATAGGAGGGAGAAAGGAATCTTGTACCAGAAATTTGTCAGAGAAATACAAATTTTAAGTGGATCCATGAGCTATAAATGGCTTTAAATTGCTGTCTGGTGCAGATAAATAAGTAAAGGGATAAAACATTTAAAATAACTCTGAACCTTTTTCATTGTCAGCAACCAAGGAGTTTAGCTTGGCCAAGCTAAAGTTGAATGTAATTTTCTTTAAGTAAGTATAGTTAAGGTAATTCTTTTTTGGTATGGGAGAGTGTGTGTGTGTGCGGATGTTAATTGTTTGGAAAAAGGAAGAGCCTTCATAATGCTTCCGTATCTCGGTGGCCAGAGGTACCATGCACCCTTCCCCCGCCTTAGCCCCCAAGTAATCATTGATTGCATCTAAATCCATAGAGAGATCTTTTCCTGGCAGCTCTGGTAGTTACAGTAGATTGTTAATCTATGAATGATCAGAATAAGGTTCTCTGTCTCAGAAATCTCCATGCAAATTAAGTCTAAATGCATGCCATAAATTTATTAGTAGCAGTTTGAAGTGCACAGGTCATCATCTATATATTTAAAAACATATGTCTGTTACACATTAAAACAAGTCTCATTCAATTTATATTCACTTTTCTGTGGACATAGCTAGCCCCTGTCAAAGTAAACCTGTGTAATTTTAAAAGTGATTTTAAAAAGGGAGATGAGATATTAATAAGGTGTATTATTTAAGCAAATTTTAGATTTCTGCATGAGACTGGAGTTTTTGCATTGCTGCTTTGAAATAGTTTCATCTTTTGCAAAACGGAGAAACATATGTTTGACTAATAGGGAGTGTTAAGAGGTAAAGGGTTATGCCTAGATATTGGAGAAAGTGATGGATGCAAAGGAAAGTTACAGTATGTTTTATGAACCAGTCCTATTCTTGTACCTTGATCATCTTATCTTGTTTTGGGAATACATCAAATCCATGACTCCTTTCTGTAGCAGAGTTATATCTTATGTGAACCCCAAAAAGGAAACTTGAGAATAACCTTTGGAAATCATGGGGGAAAGGGAAA